CCGTCGAAAGCTTCCTAGTCAGGCAAGTGACTTCGACAAAAAAAAAATCACCATCTTGTCTGCTACTGGTCACCTCTAACGCTCTGTCAATTCCACGACACTCTCGATCATTTTAAGTGAGTAAGAACGGGAACGCCCGTTGCTTTTGACTTATCATTAGCTATATGCCACTGTTTCGTTATCGATCTGACCTCACACTTGGACTCTTTACAAGTGGTTGCACTGCGTGATAGTGAAAATTAATACTCGAGACACTCTTCAGAGGCAGGATCCTGTTCAAGTATGGACGTGAAGTGCTTGATCACTGGATATGGGAAGACCCATTTGGTCTGCCTGGCTTGTCCATCTTTCGCGTGTCTTTGCTACGATCAAGGGTATACTTGGCAGGGGAAAGCTTTCAGGCAAGGCTCCAAGGCTTTCTTGGTTGTGAGAAAATAACTCAGACTTCATTTGGTCTGATGATAGCATCGCGCAGCTTCGGCCCGAGCGCTGCCTGGTGACAGGAACTCTAAGTAAAGGTTTGGACGCGTTGCGGGGCGGCGACTTGCCTAAATCGTAACGTCGGGAGCAATTTGATTCGAGCGCGTGGTAACTTTGCCTCGGTACATCATTTCTGCGATGTCACGAACAGCTTTCCCCTGCTCAAATCACCCAGCCATCGTCCGTTTCCAACTTTCTTCCCCCTACCCAGCAGACCATGCCACTATTGCCGGTAAAATACGAGTTGTTATTGCACCATCCCTGGAGGCACGTGAAAGAATCTGACCGCATCTGGAAGATTCTCCATGACAAGTACCACCGCGATCAAGGGCACCATGCTTGTGCCAACTACGCCCGATTTGGAGACAAGAACAGGCACATCTCAGCCCGACGTCATGCTTGCCGCGACGGCTTTCAGTCGGATCAATTCTCTCGAAAGATCTTGTCAACCTTAAAGTCAAGAAGTCTGTCGTCGAAGAGTTTGACTTGATGTGTTCTATCTTCACTCAGTCACCTGAGCACCGCCGGGCTGCCTGACTCGAGCGCATCGTGTCCTAGTCTCCTCACCGGCTGCGACTTCCCCGCAAACCAGCCATCAACAGCCGGGATGCGCATCATCGCCGGTTGTCTTTGGAGATTGTGGGGTATTCAAAGTGCGGAGAGACAAGGGTATTCGGGGTAGCTAATGTGACTACCGCAAGTTCCCGTTGGGCTTTCGGTGTAACCGTTCCACGACGCTTTGCCTTTACTGCTGCGCTTGCTCCTCACAAGTGAACTTGCAAATCTTCCATTGCTAGCATGAGGCTTGCGTAATAGCAAGAGGCAATGATCGGCCATTGGGCTGTTTATGGGCGCAATATCCATCGCAGTGCTACCCAAGCCGGCCGGCCAAAGTCTCGGACGGGTTGTCTTGTCCTGACCCAGCGATGTGGGAGATCATCCCGCTCCTGCGTATGTCGGGGCCGGACTACAGGAATGCTACATATATAAAGTGAGAAGCAGATCCTATGATACATGTTCTGGCTTGATGTTCAAGGTGACGATTTGTGGCTCTCTGAGCAATCCCAGTCATGCAGTCGCTTCACTTCTGGCTCTCCTCCGCACTCGCCCTCGCGGCGACTGTGAGAGGCCAAGACGACAACACCGCGAAGGTTGAGGCAGCTCTTGCCGCTATCACCGTGACCAACCTTGACGATGTCCGTGGCAACCTGTACCTACCCTCCACCATTGACGGTCTCAATGTCACCTGGGCAAGCAACTCCTCGGTCATCTCAAGCAGTGGTGTTGTCGTAAGACAGGCCGAGGATACCCAAGTGGCTCTCACCGCTTCCATCGACTACGAAGGCAGCTCTCAGACTCGAGAGCTTGTCGCTTCCGTCCGCAAAGCCGTGGCCCTTGATCCCTTTGCGGGCTACGCATTCTCTTACTTCACCGGAAACTCCATTGCTGGAGAGAAGATCTACTTCGCCGCTAGTCAAGGCAACGACGCCCTGAAGTGGACCGAGCTCAACGGAGGTCAGCCCGTCTTGACCTCTACATACGGCACCAAGGGCCTGCGCGACCCATTCCTCATCAGATCGCCCGAGGGTGATACCTTCTACCTCATTGCGACCGATCTCTCTATTGGTTCAGGTACATCTTGGGGTGACTCAGTTCGCATTGGTAGTCGGTATCTCGAGGTCTGGGAATCTAACGATCTCAAGACCTGGTCAGCACAGAGGCATGTCTTGGTTTCCCCTCCTGAGGCAGGAAACACATGGGCACCCGAGGCTTACTACGACGATGACCTTGGTGCCTATCTGGTCTTCTGGGCTTCGTCTCTCTACGAGGACAGCGATGTCAACCGCACTGGCAGCACCTACCACCGCATGCTGTACGCAACCACTCGCGACTTCGTAACCTTTTCCGAGACTTCTATATGGCAGGATGCTGGCATGTCGAGAATTGACTCGACCGTCATCAAGTCGGCCGATACCTACTACCGATTCACGAAGGACGAAGGTGCTAGCGGTACGGGATGCAGTGATATCATTCAAGAGAGTTCTACATCTCTTCGCGCTACCCTGGACTCGTGGACCATCATCGACTCTTGCATCGGCAAGAAAGCTGGTACAAGCGCTGTTGAGGGCCCAACTACCTTCAAATCGAACCCGGACGACGTCCACGGTGAGAAGTTTTACCTCTTCGTTGATGAATACGGCGGACGCGGCTACATTCCCTTGGAGACTGCCGACATTGGCAACCCCAACTGGACCGTATCATCTTCCTACAGCCTGCCGGCCAGCCCGCGTCACGGAACCGTCATCCCTGTGACCGCTGCCGAGCTTGCCTCTTTGACTGGTTCATCGGCCACACGCCGAGCAGTCGAGGCTGAAGGCGAGATCCTCCGCTACGACTTCTCGGCTGTTGATGGCACCCAGCTTCAAGATGCTTCCGGAAACGGTAACCACGCTGTGATAAATGGTGGTGCTACTATTGTGGATGGCGCTCTCACCTTCGACGGTGTCGATGACTTTGTCAAACTTCCCAACAATATCTTGTCGGGCGTTGAGGATATTGCCATCGAGGTCCAGGTTCTCCTAGATGCTTCTCAGACGACGCCGTACTTCATCTACGGCATTGGAAACACCGCTGCCGATGGCAACGGAAATGGCTATCTCTTCACCACCGGAAGCCCTTACAGAGCCAGCATCACAACAGGCAACTGGACGGGTGAGAAGTCAGCAGCGTCCAGCTCCTCTCTTCCCACAGGGTCTTGGCTGCACCTTGTTTACACTATCTCGGGCCGCACGTCTGTCATTTACCTGAATGGCTACGAGGTGGCTCGTAACGAGGATGTCAACATCGACCCTGAGAACATTGGCAATGGCGTTACGACTGCGAACTACATCGGAAAGTCTGTTTACTCTAGCGACAAGCTTTTCAAGGGCCAGATTCGCGAGTTTGCGATTTTCAACAGATCCTTGACAGCTGCCGAAGTCCTCTCTCGCTCTGGAAACGTTGGGGCCATCACGGAAGTCTCTCTTTCTGATGCCTCAGTCTTGAAGGTCCCGGCCATCATCAACACCACTGACAGCAAAGTCTTGTTCCCTGTCAAGCCGGGCACTGACGTTACGGCTCTCGCCCCTGTCTTCACCACGACCGAGGGTGTGACCTCATCTCCTGCATCTGGCTCGACTGTCGACTTGAGTGCTCCAGTCAAGTACGTTCTTTCTAACGGTGAAGAGGTCGTCGCGGAATGGACCATCAGCGCCGTGGAGATGGGTAGCCCCGTCCTGCCCGGCCTCTATGCTGACCCTAACGTCGCGGTCTTCAACGGCGTCTACTACATCTATGTTACCACCGACGGAGTTCCGGGCTGGGGTGGAAACACTTTCTACTCATGGAAGTCTACCGATCTCGTCACCTGGACCCGTAGCGCGGAACCCTTCCTCACTCTTGATGGAGCGAACGGCAACGTTCCCTGGGCGACCGGCAATGCTTGGGCTCCTACCATTGCCGAGCGCGACGGAAAGTACTACTTCTACTTTAGCGGCCAGAACGCAGCTCTGAACAGGAAGACAATTGGAGTTGCTGTAGCCGACTCCCCCGAGGGACCATTTACTGCTCAGCCGGAGGCCATGATCCTCAACAACGAGGCCGTCACCACGGGGCAGGCTATTGACCCGGCGGCTTTCCACGATCCGGTCTCTGGCAAATACTACATTTACTGGGGTAATGGCAACCCTCTGGTCGCACAGCTGAACGACGACATGGTCTCTGTCAAGTGGGACACCGCCCAACTTATGACTGGCCTCGTAGATTTCCGCGAGGGGCTTTTCATGGTTTACCGCGAGGGTCTCTACCACCTCACGTACTCCATCGACGATACCGGATCTGAAAACTACCGTGTCGGCTACGCTACTTCCAAGACTTTCAACGGTCCTTGGACGTATCAAGGCGTCATCCTGCAGAAGGATACGTCTCAAGGCATCCTCGGTACTGGCCACAACTCCATCCTCAACGTCCCCGGCACCGATGACTGGTACATTGTCTACCACCGCTTTGGTATCCCCGGTGGCGGTGGTTACAGACGCGAGACGACTATTGACCATCTGTATTTCAACGCTGATACGGGGTTGGCCATTCCGGTCATTCCTACTCTGACGAGCGTTGAGCCTCAGACTGTTCCTCAAAAGTTCCGGCGCATGTCGCGCGTGATGCGTCTTTGATTGATGAAGTATGATGATTTATGGAGAAATGTGGCGTAGCTATTGTATATCTAGGAAATATCTGTAGATGTTCGAAGTCTACTTTGTGAATATGACAAATTTCTTGAAGATTTTACTTTTATTGACTACCTTACTCATATGCCTTGAAAGATGTAGATCATCACGGTCCCCATATGCCTTTGGCCCGTTCAGTGCCACAAGACGCTATTTGAGTGCGTCGAAGTCAAGGCAATGCATCCCAGCCGGGATGTTCTGATATCTTGCCCCCTCATTGCTCGATATCACCTGTAAGTCTCTTAATCTGTTGACTCAAGCAGTCGGAGCGCACTCCGGCTTTGCAGTCTCGTACTCGTAGTAAGTGCCACATCCCGTAGGGCAATTGGGGCAGTCAATGTTCACGGTGACGGTGGGTACTGGCGTTGGGCAATGGCAAAGCTGAGAGATTTTCGACAACTGTACACACATGGGCCGTATGCAATTGTCACACATTTCTGTTGTGTAGACCGTTGGACATGCCTCGAGGCCGGCAGTAGTGGGAGTGGGAGTCGGCGCAATTGTGGGAACAGCCTCGGTGGTGGAAGTGACGCCCCCACAGGTTGGAGTTGCAGTCTCGTAGATATACGAAGTCCCCATGCAGCCGCGTGGTGGGTTTCCACCACACGGGTAGTCGACTGATTTCGTTGGAACTGTCGATGGACATCCGCATTGGCTGGAGATGGTTGACAAGGCAAGACATGCCAACTGAACGAATGTGGGACAAACGGTACCAGTCGACGTTACAGTCTGACAGTAGACCGTGTCGGCTTGGACCTCAGCCGTGGCAAGTCTGCCGACTTATTAGCTAAGCTTAGCCTGTTCGTGGGCATGGAATCGTTCTTACACTGCCATCGCGATGATTGCAACGCCTCTTGAAAAGACTCTCATGATAGCTGTTGGTCTTTGGTTTAGCGCTGTAGTGAGACTTTGCTGAAGAAGATGTCGCCAAGGTTGTCGGAATGAACGCACCCTCCTCCCTTTAAATAGTGAGAGGTCAAGTAACAAGTCGCCCAGCTGACAACCCTCGTGAACGATCCACTGTCCTGTGTGATGCTGCTGAGACATGCCACAACTTCACGACGTAAGGCAATCGAGGTCCACAGCCCGTTACAAGTTCGCTCATTCGACAGACTCGAACAGGATTGGCCTATCACGAAGAACTTTTGCCATCGTAATCCCGTAAAAGCTCCGGGGATGCCTTGCCGAAGCCCGCAACCAGACGACTTCGGGGGATACAAACTGTGGGCGTACTTGGCCAACACCACCATGTTGTTTTCAGTATCTGCCCTCACATACCATGCCGATGATCTTTACAAGATTGACTACGCTAGCGCACTTTGTCGTACAGGAGAAAAAAGCCCCCTTCGTAGGGAGGAGCTTCCCCGCAAATAATCATTTCCGAGAACGGGCCGTTGCTGATAGCTGATAGCTGATAGCTGATAGCTTGAGTCCAAATATAGACATGCTACATAGCACCAGGCCACCGTGACACCGGCAGCCTCGAGTATCTTAAATTTTCTTTGATTCATCTGTCACGCATACAGAGAAGAGGTTGAAGTTCGCGATGAGACTTGACAGCGTTTTCACCAAGTTAGAAGCATCGACATCCTCTTGAGTAAACATGAAGTCGAGCAGAAAGCCGGCATTAACTTATTCAGAAAGAACCAAATAATAACTGGCATGGCATAAACGGCCTCGAAGAATGCCGAGCTCTGACGCTTCAGATTCCAAGACAAGGCTTCAAAGGGAAGGGGGAGCGGTATCTAAAGACGGATATGGAGCTTGATCAGCAGTGCGCCCCTTGTGTCCACTAAAGCAATCTGTGGCACGTTCGCTTTTCGGAACGTTGAACTCAGCTGAGCCTTGGCATTTTGCTGAGTGGCTTTGGCCAAGAGTAGGCAATCACTGTAACGTCAGAACTTCCGGTTTTAAGTCTAAGACATCCAAACCTCACTCACGAACTCCCTGGCAAGGTTGTTCAAGGCTGTTCAGGTGATCGGCGACTGAGTTTCCGATGTAGTGTTAGATAGCTGACATCTTACTGCTGATCAATATAGGTCCATTGAGATTGAGGCTTTCCTGTCGATGCTCACTTGTAGAAGCCGGCCGCCATTGCCTAACACGCTTGGGTATGTGAATCAGGATGTGATGAAGCTTGGCAATTTGGATTTACACGACCACCTCACTGCCCGTCATGACGTCCGTTCTGCTCTCATTTTGGACTCAGACGTACGAGGTCTAGTTTGCGTGATATACTATCGCACGGAGTATCCACAAACAAGGCATTGTGACCGTAACTCGACTTCACGCGTGCGACCTGGACTTGATGTTACCGCAATCTCTCAACCAACGTAGTCATAATTTGTGGCTTCGAGTTAGAGCTAATACTAAACACTCTTCTCGTTTTGAACTACGGCCCAATCCTGGAATTAGCGAGCATTGCCTGGTTTTTCTCAGCAAAAGCTTCTGCCGACGGATATGTGCCGCATCTGTTCAGAACGGCTCGATAGCCGTCGGCTGAGGCCAGTGCGCCAGCCGGAATGAGTGTATCTGATTGTCGCGTATCTCATACGAAGCGAAGAATCGAAAGGAAATCGGCTGGTGTTTCTTGAATGGGTGGATCAAGTTGTCCGGTGTGTCTTCAAAGGGCATGAAGCACGCATCCAGCTCAGCCAAAATATGTGTATCGGTTTCCAGCACATGAATAGGTCGCAGCTCTTCTTTGACGCCAATGTGACCCTTGGCGAACATGGCCATGATTGGTTTCCTTCCAGACAATTTCAAGTCGCGGAACTGGAATTGGCAGTCCTCGGCGTAAAAGTGTGATTTGGCGCTTTCATTGGGGCTGTTGTACGCCTCCAGGTACTCTTGGTACCGCATTCTTGGAGTAGCGTAGGGACGCTCAGCGAGTGGTTTCGACTTTGTGGCGTCAACCAGAGATTTGATGGCTGTTCTATAGCCACCTAGCAGGCAAACAAGATGAGCTGTTCTTGTGTGATGCTAGAGACTCGTGATTGTTGTGATGTTTGTGTCTCGTCTAAGTAGCACCCGTTTTCCGCGGACAAAACTCTAAGATCGATCAAGCACCTCTCTTATATATAAGTGAAGAGAAAGTATGATTTACCACGGAGTTCGGGTTGTAGAACATTGGCCGCTTACCTAGGCGATGCTTGGCTCTATTATCCCCTAAGTCCCCGATTGAGCGGATCCCTCGATCTACGTCCCCGAACAACGGTTGAATCATCACACTATTCAACTCATGCTAGAAGTTCATGCTAGCAGATTGACTCTAACTCATATAAAAATGAAAACTAGAAGAGAACTTTTTGCATCTTTCGTCCTACGCAATATTTTGGGGTTTCTTGAGCCGCGGGACCCTGCTATTTCGTGGACCATTGTCGGGAGAGTTCACTTGTAGGATGGTAGTAGCATTTAGTACACTTGTGGCTTATTCTTTACCAAGCCGGACGGCTTGTCCCGATGTTACTCATAAATTTGAGTTTATTAGATGTTCTTTCACGCATTACTTAGGCTATGTTGTATACGTAGACCTCTGTAGGAAGGTAAACTCATCACAATCAGGTCCGTAAAACTGGGGGATCTTGCAACATCCGAATGAGAGTTTGCAGATGTGACCAAGACTTATCCGTAGGTCCTGGTCATTGCCTGCCAAATATGGAAAGGCTTCAGATTAGACTCCTGCAAGCAGTCTTTTTATTTAAGTGCAAGTTCTAGTCAACAGCGTCTGTCGATGCGCATGAAAGGCGGCAATCAGTCGACCTGGCCCTCGCTGCTCATCATGTCCGTAAGAGGATTCGAGTTTGCGTCTACTACTGAAAGTGCAGCGATCCATTAATCTCTCTCATTCTCTCGAGCTATTTGATTGATAAGTTCCGTGTCACAGATGTGGTGGAGTTGCCGCGTTGACTATGAGTGCCGGACGTCTCCCAGCATCACAAGATATCGGCAGTAGAGAAAGACCGAGTTGATGAATCATAGGCCTCAACCTAGATGCCAAGGTCCGCACTATCGAATAGGAAGCCCACGTGAGAGAGTTGCTCGTAAGCGGTGGGATTCGAGCTGAAAATATGCGATCTGCTACTAGGATATGAGACACTACCATGGCCCATCAACGAAAGCGAGCTCTTTTGGGACAAGCCCCCCTCGTTGAATTCCCTCTTCTGGACGTTATGAGAAGATTCCATGCCGGCGGTTGAGCCATGTTAAGTCTGGCCTTCGAACCTGGGGCCTTGGAGAGTCTGGGAGTGAGTAAAGGCGGCCCCGGCACCCCGGCAAACCGGCCCCACGTCCGATATCTGGCAACTTATAGGCCGTGCTCTCGTTACAAGTAAATTGCGCCAGTGCCGAACCACCGAAGGAGGCTCGCAGTGTGACCACTTCTTGCGACTCTCAACGCATGACGATGCGAGATGGTGAGGTTTTTTAACCCTTGGTGCCGTATTGCCATGGTGCCGAGCTAAGCCCGGCAGGCCGGGTCCCCAAACCGTTGGTCTGTTGAACTTGGGTGGTCTGTTGCTTGCCACGGAGGCCGTCAGCACCTTTCGTCGCCCATTGCCACAATCGTGCACCCTCGGAAGACGGGGCAGTGTCTCAGGTAACCTTTTCAGTGCGCGAGGGCGGCAAAGACGGTTCGACGGCACTACTGTGTACTGCGTAAGGAGGGAACGCGACGGGCATTAATGAAATAGACTACCTACACTAGTACACTAACATCCCGCTCTGGGGAAAGCAGAGCCACAAAATCTGTCTACTACTGTATGTACAGCACGCAATCTTTTATCCGGCTCCGGGCCGAGTTAACCGTCGGTGTCGGCCGGGGTGGGCCTGGGTTAGAAGAAGTTGGGGGCGGATCGCAATCAATCTTATCTCGGTGCCCATCTTCCACTGGGCTCTTTATTACTTTACCCGTTCCTTGCAGCACTTACTATGTGTTAGTGTGCTGTACGGATACCGGTCCCTCAGTTCTGGCCAACGTTGAATGGGCCCGAGCCTACTTTGATTTAGAGTTATCGTACACTTTGTTCTTCACCAAGTGGCCAATCCTTTTCTATCCGCACCTACTGGGCCTTCGGATAGCCCCTATTCACCCAAACACCGCCTCATTTGCTCGTGTAGATGAGGCGAGGAAAAAGGCTTGTCATGGTCGGGAGGTGAGCACACACGCACTCGTGCGGTAGATGCGCACATTTATGTCAAGGAACATCCATAGCGCCTCACGGGAATTGCACAGAAGTTATGCTATGTGCGTGTGGCGGAACAAGAACCCTCGTTCGTCACAGCACGTCGAGTCGGGCGTTGCTGTTTCACTCCGCCCAAAGTGACAAATCTGCCCCTCCAAGACCACGAATGCCCCCGGCAAACCCCCCTTTCAAAAAGCTCAACCACCCGAAAAAGTCGGGCTGGTCGGTGCGTTGCTCGCGGCCTCGGTCTCGATGCGAGGACCGATGTTTGGACGAGAGGGAAAAAAAGTCAACGGTTCATGTCGTGCTGAACTCTGGACCTGGAGACTACGAGTAGGAGGCCAGGTGTTCGGCGACTGCGGACTGCGCTGCGCTGTTAGTCCAGAGACTTCCAGACCCGACTATTTCCCCTTCCCCTCCAAGAGAAGAGAGTTAACTAGTCAAGACTCAGGAGACCAAAGTCTGAGAGTGCAAAAATAGGTGTGTTGGTCGCCCACAATGACAGAAACCAACCCCCTAGAGAGTCCGGAAAGAGGCGCTCTGATGCTACCCAGCGAAACAGCCTGCACTCAAATCATCCAAACCCAACGCAGACACACCCTTTCTGTGGTGATGTGGTAGTCCACGGAGTCGTGCTTCAACCAACGCGCAGCCCAGCCTTCTAGGGAACTTCTATGGAATCCCCTT